AGATAGATAGATAGATAGATAGATAGATAGATAGATAGATAGATAGAGATAGAGAGATACATAGAGAGCTAGATAGATAGAAATATATAGATATATATATAGAGAGATAGAGAGATAGAGAGATGAGAGAGATGGAAAGGGAGAGACAGAGAGACAGAGAGACAGAGAGAGACAGAGACAGAGAGAGAGACACACACAAACACAGAGAAAGTTTTCTACCAGATACACAGATACATTTTGGCAAGATAGCTAGAATGGAATCTAGAAATCCAGAACTGCTAAACTTCCAGGCTAGCCACACAGGTTTGAGACTCACCCTCCTCATCTCCTCATGATCTGACCAGAACTCAGAGCTCTCCTGCTGCCTGCCTCCTGTCAGCCCTTCCTGTCAGAGTCCATTACTTCAGAGGAGCAACACCTGAGTTCCAAGCAATGGCAGGTGGAGCTCCAGGAACTGCAACATGAGCTTAGGTCCTTGTTTCTGTTTGTTTATGTGTTATTTTTCTCTCAAAGCAGGAATAATTCAATATCAGAGGTCACTTGATAAGAATTTTTCCCTCATACTAGGAATAATTCAGTGTCAGTGTCCTTGTGACAAAAAATTATCAAAGTTGCCCAAGTTCTAGTACAGGAAAAATTGAAACTAGGACATAAAGCACTTAAGCTGATGCTGATTAAATTTCCCGAGATAATGGGGATTCAGTGTATGAAGGATATTCGCTTCCTGCTCATCAAATCGCTGCTTAAATGAGAACTTAGCTTTTGTGGGAGGTACACTAAAAGAACAAACTTTCAAAATTGAGGGCTAGCCGGGCGGTGGTGGTGCACGCCTTTAATCCCAGCACTTGTGAGGCAGAGGCAGGCGGATTTCTGAGTTCGAGGCCAGCCTGGTCTACAGTGTGAGTTCCAGGACAACCAGGGCTACACAGAGAAACCCTGGCTCGAACCGCCCCCCCCCAAAAAAAAATTATGGGCTAAATCAGTTAGATACTACCTTATGGATTTGAATCTGCTCTTTAAGTTGCTTTCTGGAGACAGTGAAATTTTGAATGTAATATAACACCTAAAACACTGCAACAAAATTGAGGCTCTACGTTAACTGACCTCACGTATAAATTAACACATGAAGGACAGAGATGCACTGAGAACAGAAACACACCGACCTTGAGAGAAAGAGAATAATGAAGAAGGGTTTTGAGTGTAGAAAGGGTATAGTGAATGGTAACACTTGTAATGTACTTGAGGTTGGAGTTCAGTGAACAGATATTGGAAAGGCTGGCACATGAGTAGTTTGGGTACAAAGTGTGAGAACAGACAAAATGGCATCAGACTTCTCAGAGTTTGATCCCAGGTTGACAAAGTCAATCTGAAGTGCAATTTTACTCAACTTATTTGTGGTTCATTTGATGCACTCAGTTCATGGTTGAAATTCTGCTAGTGGTATGTAGAAGCTTTTACTGTTCTGCAAATTTCACTGTAATGGTATGATTTCAATGATTTATACATTTTGATTTGCAACAGTTTCCTAGCGACAAATGACTGTGAATTCATTGCTGTCTGCTTATTTTCCTTGTGTGTATGATTATTTATTATATTGTGAAATTCTGTCTCAAATTATTTGTGCAGTGTGTGTGTGTGTGTATATATATATATATATATACATATATATATAAAAAATTTATTTTCTTATTACTAATAAAGCTATTATTAAGAGTTTATAGGAACCACTATTAAGCGTTTTCTATGACAGAAACAAATTCCTTTTATATATTGTTTTCCAATGTCTTTTTACAATTTGTTGCTGATTTTTAAAAAGAAAGCCTTTCTTGAAAGCCAGGCAGGGTAGTACACAACTTTAATCCCAGGATTTTAGAAGAATAGGCAGGTGGATCTCTCTTAGTTCAAAACAATACTGGTATACATATCGAATTAAAGTACAACCAAGTATAAATAGTGATATCCTGTCGTAAAAATCAAGAACAGAAAAAGATGTTATTAAAAAGGCAGATTGCAATTTTTAAGTCCAACATACAATTTTCTTCCTGGATTATTAGTGCTATGTCATGTAAAAGAAATCCTTGCCAAATTCAAGATCAAAATGATTTTTACTCATATTTTTAGAATATATTTGCAATATTGTACTCATTCCTAACAGAGAGTTTAGATAATGCTTATAATCCAGCAGTCCAATTTCTTATATTCTGTACAGGAAACCTTGATTACTTCTCATTTTTCCCTGTACTCTTTCAGCTAGAAGAAAATATTTTTAAAATATTTGCATCAAAAATCAATTGATCATGTCTTTCACGTTGGTAACATTATTTATTCATAAAAATCAACATAAATTTAATACTGAATTTAAAGAATCCCATCTTCTGTAGTAAATTTTAACTTACTTTAAGGCAGAAACATAATATGTTATTCTTGCACTACCCAATTTATAGTATATCCTCAGGTCTCTTCCATAACAGGAGAACTACATAAAACTACACATGCTTCTAAAATTCTATTTTTAGTTTGATATATAAATTTCCCAGGAATATCTTTTTAAATAATGTAATTCTCTTCTCAGGTTAGAATGTGTGTTTACATACAATAAGTTTCTAATTATTCATAATGTCTCCCAGAGTTATCTCTTCTGAATCTTCTAAAGATTTGTAGTTAAGACAATACCATAGTACATCTTTTGGCTTCACAATAAAGTTTTATCTGTTTTAGTTGAGTCCTCCAACTTTATTTCATTATTTCGTTTTTGAAGGGATTGCATTGCCACTCACAGCATTTTGGATTTTGTCTACTTACAAATATATACTCTTTGCGGTATGTGGATATCTTTATTAGGAAAAATAACATAATTCTATTATAATTAAATGTATTTTTAAAAGATAGTCTATGAATTATAAATAGTTTTGAAATGAATTTGAAAAGAAGTACAATGTTTATACCATTTAATATTCAAGTATATAAGTGTTTAAAATACTTTTGTTTAGGTATTTATTTAAATGAGTAAGATTTTTTTAATCATAAATGTTTTTGCTCACCTTGCATACTTAGGCAGGTTATTCGTGCATCTTATTTCTAACTTGCAAAAAGAATGATAGAAATGGAATGTTTTTTCATTCACTTCTTGCTGGAGTGAAGAAGCAGTTAAGTCTTAGTATTTTTCTGTTCAGGAATTTTTCAGTTGACATGTCATTAATTATCCAGCTCCAGGTTCTCTGAATTTTTACTTTTCAAATATTTCTCTATTATACTCATACCACCATATTAACAAAATTTTTGCATAGAAAATGTTTTTAATTATTATGCTTTTATAAAATTTTCATTGTCAGTTACAAATATATGTTTTGTTGCTATGTCTACAAATTCATCAGCTTCTTCTCCTTCTCATGGATGAATTTGGAAAAGTGAAGTTGTAGTCATGTTTTATAGCCTTCTGACTAGCTCCAGTAGCATTTATTGGATAAAAGTTTGTCATACGCTATCCCTTTGAAGTTGAAAATGCTATTTTTCTCTTTTAATATTTTACTTGCTCAGACCTTTACTTTTCAGTTGCGTTTATGTTGTACAATATTTAATATTAACTCATGTCAAGCCTTTTATATTTTTGATATTTAATCTCAAATATCCACGTGCATGTTAAAGTATTCTTTAAATCTGTTCTTTGATGTCTATAAGAGGTAGATCAGTTCAAGAACACAAGATCAAATCACAGTACAAATATTGTAGTTACATTTTGTACTTGCTATACACCCTAACACAAAGTTCTAACTTGATCATAAATGTCCAATGAATGCATGATAAATATATCTCTATGAGATATGTACCCTTAACATCAAAAGTAATACCAAGTTTTATACTTCATATACATGACTAATAATTCCAAAAGCTATACAACTGAAAAGTTATGTTACTACATAAAGTTAGGCAACGGAAAAATTATATTTCTGAATTACTAGTCTGAAAATACCTCTTCATTTATGATTTAAAATATAGTATAAAAACTTATATTTACCCATCATAATCTTCATTGATTCCAGCAAATTGCGATGTATCACATGATACAAAAAAGATTAATAGGAAAAGCACAGTTGATACAATGGATGTCACCAGTGTGAATTTCAATTTGTTCTTACAAGTCATTTCCAATCTGTCAACAATTAAACCTCCAAGAAAATGGCCAATCATACTTCCTGGAACTACAATAAGGCCTAAGGGGGGAAAATAAAATAATGTTAAATGTAATCTGTTGATAGTACAGAAAACTTACACACTTCCCTTCAAGTACAGGTTTCAACCAAACAAACAAACAAAAACACATGGAAGATGTGGTATTTGAATACATCTGAAAAATATACTGTATACAACCATATGCATGGGGATGGAAACATTACAGTTCCACAGGATTCTGATAGTGACAATGATGTTTAACTCCTATACATTGAGTAGCTGACACAAGCGAGGAAAATAATCCATTCTACATAAAGGTTAGGAGTTGTTTTACTGAGAGATATTATTACTGAGCCATTTCAATGAATAGCCATCTGGAAAATACTTAATTGAAATAACACTCTTTCTCAAACATCCTGTAAACAAGAATTGGACAAACCAACTCACTGATATCTCTCATAGATAGTCAATATGCATATTTTATAAAGATTTGAGTGCTCATGCTAATGTATGTTTTTTCTATGTAAGCATGTCTATTCACAAAGAGGAAACCACAAGAATATGAGCTAGGAAAAACAAAGAAGAGAAAGAGAAAACTAAGTGTAACATAGTAAACTTACACAAAAATACAATCCAATAAACTTCAAATTTAGATCACTCTGAATAAATGTAATGGATAGAGAACAAAATACCAATAACAACACAGACAGTAAATTAATTCATGCCATAATAAATACATACAGATGAAATGTTTCATAAAAATGGATAAAGTGAAGGAAAAGGAAGTAATAAAGTGGTAATGTGAGAAAAATAAATGAATGAAATGTGGGTAATATAATGAGACATACAATTGATAAAATAAAAATTCAAGTTCAGGTACAAGGTGGTGTTACAGGGACACTCAGGAATAGCTTTTTCTTCCATGGACTGGAAACAAAATAATAGACATAAAACTTGTCATAGGAGGAAGAGATGGTGATAACTGGAAGTTGCCTGCACAGGAAATAAAACCTAGTACATTCCACAGACTCGGGGGAATGACGAAGCAAGGTGAGCAAATACTCTCTCTCCTCAAATACAAAAGTTTAGAAGGGAGGTGTACTTCCTGTTCCTAGGTAGGACAGTGGCAGTGGAAGACAAGTTGTGGCACTGAAGGCTGCATCCTGCGGATAGGAAGCCTGAATACATACCAAGCCTGGAAGCTGAAAGCAAGCTAGCTTCAGAAAAGAAATGAACAGGACGGTCAGTGAAAACTCAGTTACAGAGGTACCTGGAGGGAGGTTCTATGGCCAGAGGCTCAACCATTCCAAGACTATAACTCCTGGCATGGTCTCAGACTTCTGAGAAGAATCTCAGACTTCTCATGAATACCCCATTGCATGAGCTAGGTAAGCAGCCATCCCAGACAATGAGAAACTTATAGCTTGGGCAAGCGTCTCTGACCCAACATACTGACAGGTTTATGCTCATACACACTTTGGGAGGTGTTCCAGGCATGCCTCCTGTCTTGGATGTTTCCTGTGCCTCAGGTTACATAAATCTAAAAGCCTTCAGAGCAGATGTGTACGCATTCAGCATGGCCCATAGACAGCCCAAGTTTACTGTACAGCGAGAAGAGCTCACTGTAGCACAAACAATGTCTGCATATTCATTGTACAGAGAAATACTTCCTAAGTGAAGAAAAACCTAAAGTAGCTTATATTCTTCCTATGCCCATGTGGCTAGACAGACTTACTGCTCTACCATCAGTATCTATGGGCCGGGCATTGCATACTTAACAAATCCAGAGAGTGTACACTCCTAGTACAAGCAATTTGTTTGTCAGATATTAGGCATAGCCTGGTTCTGCTCCTATTATTTTGTTGATAATTGAGAATTAGAATACTCTGAAAATGACTTCTACTATTTTCACCATATTCATTGTAAATTTTATCTCTAGAGATCCAGAGAGATCTTAGCAAGAAAATTTGTTTTCATTTACTTTTTCCTCTGTTTAAATTTTTTTTTATTTATTTATTTTTTTATTTTTTTATTGGACGATTTATTTACATTTCCTATGTTGTCCCCTTACCCCATCCCCCACCACCCCCTCGGAACCCCCAATCCCCTCGCCCCTCCTTCTTCTTCTCTGTGGATGTAACCTCTATCTACCCGCCCCACTCCCACCTCCCCACCCTCAAAATTCCCACCCCCTGGGGCATCCAGCCTTCATGAGGTCAAGGTTCTCTTCTTCCACCTATGCCCAGCAGGGCCCTCCACTTTTACATATCCAGCTGAAGCCCTGGATCCCCCCCTAAGTGCTCCCAGGCTGGTGGTTTAGACCCTGGGAGCTGTGGTTGGTTGGTATTGTTGCTCTCCTCATGGTGCCATAAATCCTTTCAGCTCCTTCAGTCTTCACTCTAACTCCTCTATTGAGAACCCCATGATCAGTTCAATGGCTAGTTGTGAGCATCTGCCTCTGAATATGTCTGACTCTTGAAGGCCTCTGAGGAGATATCCATATCAGGCTCTTATCAGCATGCACTTCCTGTCTTCACATCAGCATCTACCTTTGGTGATTGCACATGGGATAGATACTCAGGTGGAGTGGTCTTGAGACGGCCCCTCCTTCAGTTTCTGTCCCTCACTTTGTCTCCATATTTGCTCCCTTGAGTATTTTGTTGCTCCTTCTAAGAAGGACCAAATCACCCTCACTTGGTCTTCCTTCTTTATGGGCTTCATGTGGCCTGTGAGTTGCATCTTGGGCATTTCAAGGTTCTAGGCTAATATCCAATAATCAGTGAGTGAATACCATGTGT